CTAGCAGATGAGTTGATAACAAATATGCAATATGGTAATAAAAAATAAAAAGATATGTGTTAGAAAAGAAGTAAAACACTTTTCACAGATGACATGATTGTGTATAAAGAAAATCTGAAAGGTTTCTCAGAAACTGTATAATTAATAAGTAGAGTGGGGAGGTGGGGGAGGGATGAACCACAGAACTTATACGCATGTATGCATGAACAGTGGACATGAACAACAATCTGGGGAAGGGGCAGGGAGGGGAGGGGGAGGGGGGAATCAGTGGGGGAAAAAACGAGAAACATCTGTAACAAAAATTAATCAATAAAAAAAAATAAGTGGATTTAACAAGATTACTGAATACGAAGTCAAACTATACAAGTCCAAGGAATTCCTACAATCTCATATCAAAAACAAAAATTTAGAAAATAAAAAAGTTTAAATGATACTATTTATAATAAAAATAAAATATTTGAAATAAATCTAATAATGTGTAAGTATTCCACCAGAAAAATATAAAATTAGAAAAATTGAAGAAGACTTAAATAAATGGAGGGGCACATAGTGTTTATGGATTGAGACTCAATGTTGAAAGATGTCAATTCTCCTGTGAAATTATCCAGTGATGTAATGCAATCCTGATAAAAATGTTCATTTTGTGTAAATTATTGAGGTGGTTTAAAAATCTATATGAAAATATAAAAGGTCAAAAATAGCCATGGCATTTTGAACTAAATAGTGGCAAGTCTACTGGATATAAATTTTATTATAAAGCTACAATAAGTAAAATAATGTTGCATTGCCACAATGTTAGATACATAATGGAGTGTTCATAAATGACACTTGATTTTTGAAGATTATACTGTAGAGCAGTAAATAAATGATGACCTTTTCAATTAATTGAGCTGGATCAAGTGGATACTCACATTAAAATATAATAATTCCTAACTTGTAGCATACACAAAAATCAATTCTGTGTGTACTGTAAGTCTAAAGGTAAAAGCTAAAATGATAATTACAGATTACATAGGAAAATATTTTCATAATGTGGGAATTAGGAAAAGTTTTTTTTTTACCAAGATACAGAATAAATCCCAATAATCATATAGGAACAGATGAACAAATTGAATTACTGAAAATTAGAAATTTCTGCTCATCAAATGGCACAATTAAGCAAATGAAAAGGTGAGTCAAAAGGTGAGAAAAGATACCTTTAACACAAGTAGCAGCATGTATATATGAATAATTATTTCCAAACAATCAGAAAAGACAGAAAACCCAATAGAAAAAATAGGCATGAGACTTGAACTAACACTTTACCAAAAAGGATGTTCAATAAACTATGAAAATATTCTTACTTTCATTAGTAATAAAGAAAATGCAAATTAAATCCAGTCCAATCCCATCAAAATTACAAGACAAACAAACAAACAAAACAGTGGTGATAAAAATATAGTTAACTGTGACTCTCATGCATTAATAATGAGAGGGTAACATGGCACAACCTCTTTGGAAAACTCCTTGGCATCATTTACTGAAACTGAAGATATTTGTATTCTATGACCCAGGAATTTTACTGCTATGTATATATACAATAGAAATACATACACATGTGCACCAAGAAATATGCAAAAAATATTTATAACAACATTATTTGTAAGAGGTGAAAATTTAAAACATCCCAATGTCCATTAATGATAGAATGGTATATAAATCCTTATATAATTATAAAATGTAATATCATAAAACAGTGAAAATGAATAGACAGTTATATGCAGCAAAAATGGATTAGTCTTATAAATACGTTAACCAAAATAAGTTTTAAACAAATACACACTGTATACTTTGATTTATACAAAGTACAGAGAGTCCTCGACTTACAATGTTTTTACTTATGATTTTTCAACTTTATAGTGGAGCAAAAGAGATGTGTATAACAAATTACATGAGCTATTCAACACTGTATTATAAAATGGGCTTTGTATTAGATGATTTTTCCCATCTGTAGGCTAATGTAAGTGTTCTAAGCATGGTTAAGGTAGGCTAGGCTAAAGTATAATGTTTGATAGGTTAGGTGTATGACATGCATTTTCAACTTAACATTATTTTCAATTTTTAATGGGTTTATCCAAATGTAACCCCATCATAAATTGAGGAGCAGCTGTATAAAATAATCAAAGCTAATCTATGATATTAGCAGGATGATGATTATAGTTGGGGAATAAAAAGGGAGAAGTGATTGGGAGGAGGAATGAGAAAGGCTTCTGGGGTATTAGTAATGTTTTATTTCTTCACTTGAGTGAAAGTGACACTGATATTATGATAATTCACCAAGCTGCACACCGGTGCTTCTCAACTAAGGGTGGCTTTTGTTCCCCAGGGGATATATCTGGAGGAATTTTCCATTGTCACAACTGGAAAGGGAAAGGTGTGCTACTGGCATTTACTAGGTAGAGGACAGAGATGCTGCTAAACATCCTATAGTGCATAGGATAGTCCCTTCCCCCACCCCAGCAAAGAATCCTACTACCCAAAATATCATAATGCTGAAATTGAGAAACTTGTTAATTTTGTGCATGTTAACTCTAGTAAAAAGGCCATGCCCATATGTATCCATAAAACAAACAAACAAACAAACAAACAAAACAAGGATGCTACTCTCCATGTTTTCCTATTTCTACATCTTTGCTTCTTGTAAGTGTGATTTGTTTTTTGTCTTTTGATGATTACTAAGAATTGAGAGGGACAAACACTCCTGGGAATTTATATGGAACCAAGACTAAAGTAAGGAGGGTCTGCACATTTATTTATTATTTTCTCTGTGATTTATTATTTGTCTATACTATAGTGGGATCCTTTATAGTCAATATGTTAAAATAAGGGCATCAGAATTGGAGAAACCCATTACTTCACACAGATAAACTTTCTAAGGAGTGTGTAGGGTCTAAAATAGTGACTTTTGCATTACTTACTTGAGTCGCAGATATATCATATTACTTTTGAGTATAAAGCAAAGTGCATTACTGATAGTTTTTCTATACAGGTATATAGGGAAATATCCAAAGTAAATGATTTGATTTTATGGAAAAAATATGAAGATATTCAGCATTATTTGTACATCCTGATTTGCAGATGACGAAACTCAGTTTAAAAAAAGAGTACAAATGTTGACAAAGCCTATGTTGCAACCCATATGTCAATGATTCTGAAATCAGTGTTCATTCCCCAAATCTGTTAAAGGATGTTTGCTAATTAGGGGAAGGAAGTACTAAAAGAAATTTACTTATGTGGGACAAAGTATGAACTATGGTTACTTAAATATATTAGTGTATCCAAAGAAAGTAATAAAATAATTAAATAGCTCATTTCTTTAGAACTGCTTATCTCAATCCAGTGTTGAAACACAGTGTGAATTGCTCAATTCAGGATCACTTTTATGAAAAAGTAGTGGAGAAAAAACATAGATTAAATAATGCAATCACTGAATATAGTAATCTTCAATAGAGCACACTAGCCCTTATTCAGAGAAATTGGAAATGGAAGGTCACTTACTATTACTACTAAACTATTTACTTTCCTCCTAAAGTAGCCTCTTTATACTTATAAGAGAATGTGCTAGTGAGGGGAAAAGATAAACTTAACCAAACCAAACCAACCTGAAGTGTTTTCAGCACCCTCCCCCTACCTCAACCACAGGAAACAGATCAACACAGAGTTGCCTTGAGATAGATTATTAGGCACCTCCCAGAGTTGAGGAGATGAAGAGACTTTGGGAGGGAGAACACATACCAGTTGATCCAGGCAGGATTCAGGAGTAGTAGAGACCACATTAGGCTTAGATTACAGTTTAATTGAACTTAGAAAACAATGATTCTTGACTTGTACCCAGGTTGGCATAGTGAAACCTGTGACCCACTATACTCCAATAGGCTAAACACAGAGGTGAATGAGAGGGTTCTCTGTGTTCACCCTTTCTCAAGAACTAAGTCAGCAAAAATTCAGGAGCTACTCCAGTTTTGTTCCTCAGCTGGTGTGGAGAGAGCAGCCTGGATATTTCATATTTATCTTGCCAGTTACCCCAAATGTCTCAACGTCTCAGGGGAATTATGCCTTCTGAGAAGCCATATAGAGCCAAGTGGAGTTCTAATAGAAGAAAGCTCCTATGTGGCTTTCAAATACAGAAAGAGCCCTTGTTCTGTCAGGCTTCTAATTTTACTATACATGATAGTGTTAAAAAAATAAAAATACTGTTCTCTCTGACTCTGTAGCTTTCTCTGTTTCTCTAGTCCTCTCTTTCTCTCTCTCTCTCTCACACACACATAGTACACACCCACCCACACACCAGAGCCCTACCAAGGCCTTGCTGAGCCTGTGATTGGGCTATACTTTATTTTCATTATTTTTTTAATCTTCACCTGAGGATATTTTTTTCTATTTATTTTCAGATACAGTGGGAGGGAGAGAGAGAGAGAAACATCGACATGAGAGGGACACATCGACTGGTTGCCTCCCACACAATCCCGACCAGAGCAGGGGATGAACCACAACCGAGGTACGTGTGGTTGGCCAGAATCAAACCTGGGATTCATTGGTCCGCAGGCCCACGCTCTACCACTGAGCCAAACCGGCCAGGGCTGGGCTATACTTTTAATCCCACATTCTATCCATAATTTTTTTTTTATCCTCACCTGAGGACACCCTTGCATTCTTCCTCAGATAGAGCAGGAGGGAAAGAGGGATAAAGAGAGAAAGAGAAACATCGACGTGAGAGAGACACATCAAGTGGCTGCCACCCACACGACCCCACCAGGCCGGGGACAAACTGCAGCCAAAGTACTTGCCCCTAGTGGGAACCGAACCAGGGCACTCTGGTCCACGGGCCGACGCTCCAACTGCTGAACCAAACCGGTCAGGCTATCCATAAAATTTAAATACTCTTTCTTCTTGCTTGTTTTCCCTGCTCCAATCCTTTCAGTCATCAAATCTGGATTTCCATGCAAAATCAAGAAACTCACGTGACTTTGGCACAGACGGTGCACTTCCAGCGGCCATCAAGGCCTGAGACCCGACACTCGCTGCACACTCTCAGTGAGCAGGCCTGGCATAGGTTTCCCCGGTCAAATATTAAGCCCAGGTTTCTCTGACAGTGAACACAGACTCTGCTGGTCTCCTGTTGAGTCTTCCCACTTTTACGTTTTGCTTCTAAGAGTTCGTTTTTCAGCTTCCTGGAAGGAGAGGGGAAAAAATCACTTAAAAACAAACAAACAAACAAACTGAGGAGCTGAACTATCTTTATGTAAAGGATATTTTCATTTGGAAGAACATTTAAAAGAATCAAGGAGTCAGAGCCAAATACTTTCAGAATACACAATTTCTCCCTTCATAGTCAACAATTTTTGACATCAGTAGTTGAAAAACATATGTTTGTGTTTTGCTTTTGAATTTTGATGCCCTTCACGAGCACTACTATTTTGCTATGAGTATTTATCCACATTCTACTCTAACTTCTCTGAGATCTTTGATTCCATAACATTGGAGCACAATCCCACCCTAGAGTCATGCACAATACCATGTTCTTCACTTGCCTAGATATACTACATGAAACAAGACTCTGAAATCAAACTTGGTAATGTGAGAATGTTTAGATGATCCTGTGAAGAGTTTGGTACACAGATATTGCCTACCATTTCAGGTTTCTTCTTACCATTTGAGGGTTTCCAACAATTTCCGTTGACCTATGGGCTTTGCTGTGAGGCATGTCTATGTTTGAATCCAGTTTCCATCATTAATTAGCTGTCCAATTTAGACAATGATTTACCCACTCAACCTGAGACTTTTCATCTCTAAAATGGGGGTAATCATATCCTTCTTATTATTATATTATTTTCTATTTTTAAGATTAAATGACATAATATATGTAAAGTTATAAGCACTATTTTTGCACATAGGTGCTAAATAAATGTTATTTCCATGTCCCTTCTTTTACTACCTGACATATGTATTTATATATACTTAGAAAATATACTATGGCTGGTTTGGCTCAGCAGTTACAGCATTGGCCTGTGGACCAGAGAGTCCCAGGTTCGGTTCCCACTAAGGGCACGTACTTTGGTTGCAGTTCGTCCCCACCCTGGTTGGGGTAGTGTGAGTGGAAACCACTCAATGTGTCTCTCTCAAATTGATGTTTCTCTCTCTCTCGTCCCCCCTATCTCCCTCATGCTCTATCTGAAGATAAATGCAAAAATGTCCTTGGGTGAGGATATAAATAAATAACTATTCAAAGTGTAGTCCTTGTTCTGGAAGTGTCAGCATCATCTGGGACCTTGTTTGAAATGAAGAATCTAAGGCCCCACCTTATACCTACTGGATCAATTCTGCATTCCACCAAATCTCCAAGTGATTAAAGTTTGAGAAGCAGAGTTTTGGAACATTTCTTTTCAAAGTTGGCTGTACACTTGAATCATGTGGGAAGAGTTTTAAAAATTATACTGATTCCTGGACCTCACGCCCCTCCCTGCCTCAAATCTGATATAATTGGTTTGGAATATGGCCAATGCCATTGGCCACTGATATTTTTAAAAGCTTCCCTATTTATTCTATATATTGCCAAATTTTGAAAACACTAATCTAGATGACAGATCCATTCCACTTAAATGCTTTATAGTCATGTCATTCCTCTATGCTATCCATATCCAATCCCTTCTTCAATATAACATTTGTATGTTTAAAAAAAAAAATCCAAGAGTCATCCCACATATCTTATATCACCTCCTTTTACATTTGTGGAACATTTGTGGTGCTTTGTTATACCCAAGGAGACTAGCATCTCCCTCAAAGGCAGTTTCTTGTATATACTGCTCAGGACCCAATTCTGTACTAAATTATAACATACTTAAATGTTTAAAACTATTATCTCTTTGGGGCCTTCAAACTAACTTGTGATGTTCATGTTAAAGATTCTAAGCAGTATATGTAAAACCAGAAACCATGTCTTTTAATTCCTAGTCTGATGAGAGATTCAGGAATGGGGAATTACAAATGTGAAGAGTAGTTTCTAAAACCTTTGATTGTCTCATTCATTCATCCAATAAACATTCATTAGTTGCCTATTGTGTACTGCGCATTCTGATATTCAGAGAGGAAAATAAGTCAAACGGTACATCTACTACAGATTCCCATTATCCTTCATATTAGTAAAAAAAAAGGAAACAGTGCAAGATGATTCACATGTTGCAACAGGCAGCCATACAGAGCACTCTTAAGTCCTCACTCTTATCTAAACAAAAATGACAACAACCTACAACACATGCTTTTTAAATTTTTTTCTTCAGTGATTTAGAAAGAGAAGAAGGGAGAGAAAGGTAGAAACAGAGAGAGGGAGAGAGAGATAGTAACATCAGTGAGAGAGGACATCTATTGGCTGCCTCCTGCATGCCCCATACTGGGGATTTGGCCCATAACCTGGGCATGTGCCCTAAAAGGGAATTGAACCAGCGACCTCTTGGTACATGAATCAATGCTCAACCACTGAGCCATACTGGCTGGGCAACACATGCTTTTTTAATCCCTCATCTAGAGTTAGCTAAGTACCTTTTTCTCATGACCAACTGGCTCATGAAATTATCTATAACCAAAGTGAAGCCACACGATTTACTTTTGAAAACTTGTAAAAACTAAAAGCTTTAAAAGAACAGAATATGTTCTCATTTTAAGACCACAACTATATTATTTGGAGAATCACAGCAGACATTTGAATAGTTCAGGGCACAGGAGAAATAAAATATTGTCTATTCAAAATCTATAACAATTGATGCAACAATGATAAAGAAACAAAGTGATCAAAATGAGCAGGACAGCTCTGGCCAGTTTTCTCAGTGGTTAGAGTGTCAGCCTGCGGTCCAGAGAGACCTGGGTTTGGTTCCCGCTAAGGGCACGTACTTCAGTTGTGGTTTGTCCCCGGCCTTGTTTGGGGTTGTGGGGGAGGCAGCCACTCGATGTGTCCCTTTCACATCGATGTTTCTTTCTCTCTCTCTCCCTTCCACTCTATCTGAACAAAAATGGAAAAATGTCCTTGAGTGAGGATAATAAAAAAAAATGAGTAGAACAAATATAGCAATCCTAGACAGCAGTACTATCTGAGTAGATTGGTAAGGTGTCGAGAGAGAATACTAAACCTAGAAAATGGAGTGTTCTACAATTTTCCAGAGGCAAATTATCTTCTAGAAGAAGATTCTATAATCAGGTGTCTGAAGTTTAACCACTTAAAGTAGAGTGAGAACTCTTGGAGAATTTATGGTCATAAAGACAAACACTTATATTCCATCTTTCTTTGTGCTCAACTGAAAGGACTCTGTTTTGCAATCAGGTTTCACCTAGCTCTCAGTTTTAGAGTCTGAAAAGACTTTGGGTCTCTGTATAAATCAGACCACAGGGAAGCAATAACCAAAGGTCCAAGCACACTAGCTGGGGAATTCCTCAGTCAATTGGTGCTAATTATGCCACATATTCTGAAAGCTATCTCTAAGACATATGGGAAGCACAAAATATTAAGCAGCTTACTGATTTTTCAAGTATCTCTTAGAATTTAACCTGATTTAATCATGTCTTGAATCACTCACATGAAGTAGACACAGCCATTTTCAGACACTCAAGTAGAGGATAAAAGTGGTCAGTTGCACCCAGAGAAAGAGAGTGTGCAATTGGAGAATTAGTACCAAGGAGAAAGGGAAGTACAGGGAGCTAGAAGTGAGCAATAGGATGGTACATCTCTTCCTACTGCTTTACTAGGCAGTATTTACAAAGCACACTGGACCTTATTTGGTTCCTGCATTGCTGGCTCAATCTTAGGAACTATCTGAGGAAGGTGTTTCTAGGTTGTTCATCTCTCTTATACACACAAGCTAGAAATGTTTCTAGATCCAAGTAACAGGCTTAGATAATTGGTTTCATATTTCCCCACACATAACAAGAAATTCAAAATGAGCAGTTGCTTGCATTATTTCAGCTGCAAAATCAGATCATTAAGGATTCCTTTCATCCTGATAGTCCCATATTTTCAAGGTGCAGTTTATCATTCTTAATTAAAATGCCCAGGCAGCTGCTGCATAGCATCTACTTTTAAGGCAGGAATAAGGAGGAAGAGGTGTCACTTAAACCTGTTTCTTAACAGAAGAGCAAAAATTGACTAGGACGTGCTCCCATCAGACTCCCCCTTAGATTTCCTTGACCAGAGTGTGTCTAGTCACCACCACTAGCACTAGGAAACTGGAACAAGTTGGAATAGTCCCTCTTGACATTAGATGTGGTCATGTGATTGACATCAGATGTGCTTGTGTGACTGGCATTGATCCATAAAATGAGGCATGGGATTTCAGGTAAAAGCTGTAAAAAGTGAATGCCAAGTTTTCCACATACCCTCCTCTTGGCATGGAGAATGACAATGTCCCAAGTAGTGTCTGCTCTGTAAGTCTGGGTCCTGGTCTGAGGATGCCATGAAATAGAGTCTGCAATCATCCTGTTATGGATGTGTAGCATGAGAGAGAAATAAACTTCCATTGTATTAAGCCACTAAGAATTTGAGGCTGTTATTGCAGCACCATTTAGCCTATTATGACTGATAAACACATAGCCTAATCCTTCATTTGGCTGGCTCTCATACATCCTTTTTGCTTCAGCTTTACTGCTGCTTCCCCAGTGAGGCTTTCTCTGACCCCCAAAACTAGAGCAGATTCCCATCTTATTCTCACTCATAGAACTATGTTCTTTTCTTTCACAGCAGGTACCACAATTTTTAATTATACTTTTATTTGGCTGTTTTTAACTGGTTTAATTGTCTCACCAACTCTCCTGTAATCTCCATGAGGGCAAGACTATATCTGCTTTGTTCATCTTCATATTTTACAGCACATAAGCAGTGTCTAGAACATAATAGATAGCATTTAATTGAATGACTAAAGTAAGCATAAGTAAAATCTAGCATGAGATAGAGGAGAAAGAGAGAGAATGGGAAGATAAAAAAAATGTACAATGTTAGATCACTAGGAATAAAGTCAAATTAAAATTCACATGAACTGAGATAAAACATATTTAGAAAAAGTAATACTAGCCTGATAAAACTACAGGATGTTGTTACTTGATAAAAAGTCCCAGAACTTTTTTACCTTCCTTAACCTCATTCGTATACCTTTGTTCAATAAGCAAAACTATTTTGATTCTTGATAATATC